CCTACATTGGGTAAAAGGAACGGATAAACTTCGACTCGATGCTCGCTTGTACTCACTCACCGAATTACACACAACAAGATGTTTTATAACACCAAGTTACTGGTGCGTTTACATATTATCAATGTGCAACCGACTCGCAAGATACAACTCACACATCTCGGTTTCAAGAATATAAGATATTATCGTCTCACCAATCACTCGTGATAAAATCCATGAAGCGATCCAAGTGAGCGTGGGTTTAATCGAATGCTCAAATCATATTCATAAGCACTCATGAACGTTGCAGCAAACCTTTGCTATGTCTAATGCACTTCAGACAATCTACAACCAATTCATGACAATCTTCTTTCATACCTACTTCCAAAGTATGAGCGACTGTGGAACGTTCAAATAATCTTATTATTCATGAAGTTAAAACATGCAAAGTGAAACACAATAATAATCGAATCCAATATGGCCCCAAACTTTTGAGTATAAATAAAACTCCTTTTATTTAGTCACCATATTGATTACAGATTATTCATTGTATAATGTTTCGAGTAATCAACTTATTACTTGAATTATAACCACAGTTGTCCCATGCACCAAGCATGCACACTATGTTTACCTATGGTCCTTACCTTGTGAAGTAGATCTATTGAGAACATTTTTCAACAAAACTCATTTCATAATTCCTAATCCTTATCAGTTAGTGTAAGATTACAAAATTCTCGCCACTACTAGAATATGTTAGATTCTTACACTTTATGCAACGGTCCTTTCGTAATGTCACGGCACAAAAGTCACCAAGACTCGGCCAATGAAATTATAAAATGCTCTATTGGAGATTGTTACAAGACAATTCCATAGATGTGAAGTCTCACATTCAAAGTACATTCCTTTGAACATCCTTCTTGCATAAAAGTTTCTAATCTAGACATAAACTCTTAACGTCCAACTCCCAATATGGAAACATTTCCATATTTTCTATATGACAACTCATTTTAAATAGAATCTTATCTATTCATAATAATGTCAATATGGTCCATCCATGACTATACTTCTAACTGTCCACAAGTGACCAATCGTTGGCGAACCTTAAATTATCCTTGACAGTTGTTTAACTAATTCAGTCAAATCCGATTCTAGTCCTCTTTCCCTCTTAATGCCTTAGGCATTTGGAAAATTTTAGAACAGTCGAATATTACAGCATATGCAATCGATCATATACCCGAAGTGTATGGGATACGATTCATAATGAGAAACGTGATACTTTACCAGTTTCTTGCTATAATATTGTTATAATATTTCTATTTGACGTGTTCTCAAAATTCGAACTATGAAGAGGGATGTCGTAATCATAATCGAACTTTGAGAATGCAAATAATAAATATATACTTGACTAAACTCAATTAAAATTTCTTGATCTAAGCTTTTAGATTGGAAACGAAGTATAACATTCTCTCCCTTAATTATAGCAAAAACAACTTTTCAACCCCTGCAACTTTGCAAAGTGAAACTTTTGTTTTTCTATAATTAATATTGCTAACTTGCAATAATAATCATGCTCCCACTAACATGATGATTATATCCATACCAACATAACATTTATGCTCCCACTAGCTTTGACACGTATTCAGAAAACAGTTGGACTTCTAAAAGACAATACTAATTGACTTCCAAAGTTCATATTTCCAATACGATGTGCTTCGATAAGCCTTTATCTAAGCTTCTCAAACTCACACACATTTCCTTAGACAGCTCACATGTGTGTCTAAACTAATTCAAAACTTATATTACTAAGTCCCAAATGTTCAGACTAATTGCCAAATCTCACAATTCGAACTATGAATAGGGATGTCGTAATCATAATCGAATTTGAGAATGCAATTTACATAATCGCTATCTCCTTAAAATCTCTCTTAGTGAAAGCGTTTCCTCACAATCATTTTCATGAAGGAGAGAAACCTTATGACACTTAGATTTTATGGTGCATGTGTTCCTATCCATGCAAATTTATCATAAGCATAATCGTAAGATAATGTTTGTGACAAATTCAAACTCTTATGGACAGAACTTGTTCATTCTTAATTTCTTGCCATCAAGGGTCCCACCATTGCTTCCAAGTTATTTAGCAGCTCACCTATGCTAGTCAATGTACTTTCATTGATCAAGGTGTTTGCCCTTATGCATTCAATTGAGAACTCGTAGAACTCATATGCATAATCACTCAACTGGATTGGCACAAAAATGAAATTTTGTCAACACGATAGGTTACAATCCTCAAGTCGTGTGCTAGTGTTTAATAGGTTTACTTCTTGATTTGTTCTTGAAACTTTTCAAGATCTTTAGACTCCCACTGACCTCCTGACATATAAGATTCTCTTATCAAGAAACATTTCTTGACAAAACAAATATTCAAGAGTCAGTGTGTGTCTTTATCAAGACAAACCTACACACAATTTGGTACTAGTTGGTCTTTGTCTTATCCAAGACATCACAACTTACCAAAATATGCTAGTGTAAGAACATTCCTACTTAAGATTATGTCACTCAATTCACAATCTTGGAGTATGACTCTAAAAATTGATTTTGGTACGAAGTACGATTCATCTTATTGACTTAACCATTTCAACAATTCCCATTCCCCTTCTTAGCCATACTAATACACCAATATGTCCTTAGAGGATGAATTGTAATATGGTTCTTATAATCTTTAAGACGATCATAAAACACGATACAAAAGTACTCTCCTTTCTTCTTAGATTGGAGAACCTTTTATCTTTCTGCCTAATTGTTTCTTCTTATTCGTTCTGCCATTCATTGAAACTTTTCAATGATTCAGAATTACACTTAATCTTGTAAGCATAATCACGTTTACTAGACTTTTAGTAAATCATGACGAATAATCTTATTGTTATTTATGGTGGACTTGACCAGTGCACAACATTGTGAACTCGATCTCCTAGTCCTTCACTTGACTCTTTGTCAAGGAATTGGCCTTAAAATTTCTAAGTACCAAGATTTCCATACATCACATGATTCAAATCATATGATTCCAAGCTTCTATCCAATTGAAACTTGGGCGATGGGAATCTTTCCTTACTTATAAAATCACGACGCTACCATAAATAACATAACTAAGAATCACATCCACTTAATATTGCTTATAATAGAAACATACAAACATCAATTTTCACAATTGCCATTGCAAGGAAATATAAATAAGATAAAATCAAAATTTATTTTATTGCAGAAAAATATATCCTTACAATGCATATGAAAACTATGCTATTACATATTCCTAAGAATTTATCATAACTCTAAGCAGCACCTCAAAATCCGATCATCGAATCCATGCGATCGTAATCCATTTCTTCGCGATCAGACTCAGCTCGCTCATTCCTGTAAGCTTCCTTTCCTTTCTTCGATCCTTCAAAACATCGAAATGTAATCTTATCACATCATGTATTAAGAATCTCCAAATAGGAACTTAATAGAGTTATATAGTGGATATTGCCTAAAGCAGAGTCATACATCTTGACTCTCCCATCTCTTAGATCTCTTAGGTAGTGTGGGCAGCTTCGTAACCAATGCCCTTCTTTAAGCAGTAGAAACACATGGATTTTTATGGAATGGTACACGGGACTATCTCAGACTCAGCCTTTCTCTTGCGTAGAGAAAACTATTCTGGACTTCCAATGTTGCCATTGCCCATAGAAGGATGTGACATTGATTTATCAGACAAATTTGCTCGATCAGTGCGCCAAAACATTTCTGATTCAGCAGCAATAAGAAAATAAGTCAAATTACACCCTTATGGTTTTATTAAGTTAATTAAAGGTATAATTAAAAGAGAGTTAATAAATCCATAATGATATAGTTTATATTTAATTAAATTAAAAGTATAATTTATTAAATTAAACCACCTAGTATTTTAAATTAAACCACCTAGTATTTTTTGGTTTATTAAATTAAACCAAAAAACGTGGTTGAAGCTTTCCTTAGGGTTCCTGGACGTTTTTTGGTGCCTCCTTCTCTTCTCCTAAGTCATCCTCTTGCTCTTGGTGTTTGTGAGCCATTAGAGGTGTGACACTTGTGACACTAAGCTTTCAGAAGCCAATTACAAGAAGGAATAGATTGTTATTACTACATAACAATAAAAGGTAAGATCTAAACCCTATTCTTATGTTAATATTGATTATCACATGCTAGATCTAGGGTTTATGGCTTTGGATGATTATTGCATGTTCATTAGACAAAATAGATCCAAAGCTTTAGGGTTTGCATGTACACCATAGGAATGATGTACTGCTCAAAACCCATCAGCTAGGGTTTTAGAATTTAAAATTTCAAAAATCAAACTTTTAATCAAAAATTTAAATTCCAAAACTTGAGGGCAAGTTTTGAAACATTTCAAAACCATTAGGGTTTAGAATTTAAATATTTCCAAATTAACCTTTTAATCAAAAATTTAAATTCCAAAACTTGAGGACAAATTTTGAAACCTTTCAAAATATTAGGGTTTAACTATTTAAATTTCAAAACTAAAACTTTTAAAGTTCAAATATAAACTAGACAAAACGTCAAAAATGGTCCCTGTGGTTTTCGAAAATATCAAGTTTAGTCCCTAAGTTCAAAAAACCTCACAGATGGTCCCTGTGGTTTCAAAACTTTTAACAAATGGTCCTTTTCGTTAACTCCGTTAGCTTTTGGCCGTTAAGTGAAGGGCAATTCTGTCATTTCACTGCCACAGGGACCATTTATGAAGATTTGCCTTATTTTTGTTAAAAAAAGAAAAAAAAAATTATTTAATATTAAAAGGTCCCACCCCCCTCTCTCTCACACACACACACGCTCTCTCTCTCTACATCGTTGTGATGGAAAAGCGAGAGAAGAAGCTCACCAACTGCCATCTCCGGCCACCAAATGCCACCGTCAATCCACCCTTCGGCTACAGAACACCACCACAAATACCCACCAACCTTTATCCTTTACCCTTGGACCGTGACTAGCAGCCATCAAGAACCACCCATCGCGACTCGTAAGTTACCAAGAATAGGGTTCTCACAATGTGTAATGAAATTTCGTAATGATTGTGGAAGCTTAGATACATCTCCAATGACAGAAACTCGGATTTCGTCCCTGTCATCGGAATTCCATTTTGAAAGTGGATTGAAATTGAACGAAAACTTATTCAAAGCGGTGGAAATTAGTCAATTACCTCGACATTGAAGCAACTTCATCTTTTAATGTGTTTTCAAGCAGTCTCATTAAGAAATCGACTTCGACCTACATAAACACAACCGATTAATCGACTGAACCCACAAAGTTCTGATGAAATTGGAATCCAATTTCGATATTACACATACTTTGGGTCTTAACCAGTTGTCAGATGAGAAGGCAAAGACTGTAAGAACTTGGATTCCCCACTTACGACACATATCTACCACGACCTTCAATGCTCCGGCACCTGTCAAGTAGCCCACCTGAGGCATCAATCCTCTTGACCGATCCCATCTTCTGTTTCCGCCAATGATGACTGCAACATGCTTCGACATTAACTCGCGATGGAGTCCCACCGGAGTAACAATCAGTTCCTCCGGCGAAGTGATTCTAGCTCCGGTATATTGGTCGTCGGTGATTACATGATGACGGGGGGTGTTGGTTGATAGAGAAAAGGGGTTTGAAAGACAAGAGCAAGGAAAGGGAAAGAGATAGAATTATGAAAGAGGGTTTTCAGTTTTAGGGATGCAGATTGGAGAGAGAGAGAGAGAGAGAGAGAGAGAGAGAGAGAGAGAAAGAGAAGAGAGAGAGAGAGAGAGAGTGTGTGTGTGTGTGTGTGTGTGTGAAAGATGGGGTGGGACCCATATTAAATTTTATTTATTTATTTATTTATTTTTAAAAAAGTAATAGAAAACCTCATAAATGGTCCCTAGGTAGTGAAATGACAAAATTGCCCCTTACTTAACGGCTAAATGGTAACGGAGTGAGACGGAAGGACCAAATGTAAAAAGTTTTGAAACCACAGGGACCATCTGTGAGGTTTTTTGAACTTAGGGACTAAACTTGATATTTTCAAAAACCACAGGAACCATTTTTGAAGTTTTGTTATAAACTATAAAACCTAAGGGGTGTAAATTGAAACTCTTCAAACTTACTAGGTCAAATATTTGACTAATAATAATCCTATATTATCCATATTTAACCAAATCCATCAATTTTGATGAGGATAATCATTCCAATCTTAAAAATTCGGATTTTGGCAAGAAAAACGAGTTTTGGCAATTATCCTCAACAAAATCTGGCAGAAAAGTCAAAAATCCCGGCACCAGAGCCCTGGACTTATCGACTCCACAATGGAACTCGTCGAGTAGGACCTACTCGTCGAGTCCATTCATGGACTCGGCGAGTCTGCTAGTCAGAAACCAAAAAATTCGATTTTCAAGCAAGCAATGAACAATTAAGCATCAAATACATCAAACAAACACCCTAGGCTCTGATACCACTGATGGGTTTTGAGCACTACATCATTCCTATGGTGTACATGCAAACCCTAAAGCTTTGGATCTAGTTTGTCTAATGAACATGCAATAATCATCCAAAGCCATAAACCCTAGATCTAGCATGTGATAATCAATATTAACATAAGAATAGGGTTTAGATCTTACCTTTTATTGTTATGTAGTAATAACAATCTATTCCTTCTTGTAATTGGCTTCTGAAAGCTTAGTGTCACAAGTGTCACACCTCTAATGGCTCACAAACACCAAGAGCAAGAGGATGACTTAGGAGAAGAGAAGGAGGCACCAAAAAACGTCCAGGAACCCTAAGGAAAGCTTCAACCACGTTTTTGGTGCCCTAGGGATCCTTATATATGTGAGGCTATTAGGGTTTTGAACTAGGAAACCCTAATCTGACTACTTAGGCCCTAAGCAGCCCATGGACTCCTCCTTTAGAGGCCTTGGACGAATTCTAATGGGTTTCCCCATCGATTTCGTCCACTCCATCCTCTATGGAGTCCATTAGCCCAATATCCAACTATCACACAATTGACAGTTCTAGTCCCCTTTATTTAATTAATGCCTTTTAGCCACAAAATTAATTTTTTAATTAATTCTTGACTATTATTAATTAAATAATATGATTTCTCTCTTAATATATTATTCATATAATATATATTAATAAATCATAATTAATCTCTTTTTCCATAAATCATCCTATCAAGTTGCTTTGGTGAAGGCAACCCAAAAGGACCATGCTCGCAATCGGGTCAAGTACATACCACAATAGTTATAGGCTTAGACACTAATCCAACACTAAGCCCTTTCAACCTTAATTATATAACTATATCTATATAGACATGATTTTGACAATATATAAGTTTAAAAGAGTTTTGTAAAACGATAAAGAGTTTATCATATAAAAGAGTTTTAACCATTTGAATGGTTATTTATTACTTGGTGTCAGTTTATAAAATGATTTGAAACAGTTTGTTTGATAACACAGTTTTGAAGTCTAAGTAATCCTTTTGTTTGATAGTTATAAATCATATGTGATTGATATTATAACTATAATGTTTTCTAGTTGTATCCCCCCCCCCCATAAAAGCATTTATAATCATTAAAAGATAAGTTTAGGGGTATGAACTCACCTGTAGTGAGTGATTCGAATGAAAAATCGATTAGAATGCTAAGTATGCCAAGTGAAGTGTCGAGCACAAACGGATCCTATGAAGCATATAACGACACATATATGTATATAATTAGTGTATATAACAACTAATCATGCAAGGGAACAACCTTAGGTGCTAGGAAACACTTGGAATGAAGTGTTACAATCACATATGATTGTATGAAAGGGTGTTCACAGCCACACTATATGTGTTTACGGCCATAGGAGAGTTTACGGTCACACATGAAGTGTTTACGGCCCTAGGCTTGATCCTATGAAGGGTTTACGGCCATGGGTTGAAGGGTTTCCTCACCATCATTTTCATGAATAGGAGAGAAACCTTATGACACTTAGATTTTGTTTTTTATATATATGGTGTATGTATTCCTATCCATGTGAATTTGTCAAAAACATAATCAAAAGACAGGGTTAGTGACAAACCCAAACTCATATGGACTGAACTTGTTCAATCTTAATTTCTTGCCACTTGGTAGCTCAAGGGCCTACCATTGCTTCCACATTTTTATGCAAACAATTGAGAACTCATAGAACTCACAAGTATAGTCAACTTTAACTGGAATAGGCACAGAAATAAGAACATGTCAACACGATAGGTTAAAAACCTCAAGTCGTGGGCTAGTGATTAACAATACTCTTGATTAGTTCTTGAAACCATCTCAAGATTTTTAAAGACTCGCACTGACCTCTTGACATATAAGATTCTCTTTTGTCAAGAATCATTCCTTGACAAAACAAATATTCAAGAGTTAGTGCAGATTCTTATCAAGTTAAACACTTCTCACAATTGGTCTTAGTTGGTCTCTGTTTTATCCAAAACACCACAACTAGTCAACTTCAAATGTATAAGAATAGGAAACATCTTACTCTACATTTGACAAGTGTTATAAACTTTCTAAAGTTTATGTCACTCAAGTTACAATCTTAGAGTATGACTCTAAGACTTGATTTTTCGAATGAAGTATGATTTATCTTTTGATTTAACCATTTCAACAATTCATGATTCCTCTCCCTAGCCAAACAAATGCACTAAGGTGTCTTTAGAGGATCAATTGTGATATGGTTTTATAATCACTAAGATAATCATAAAACAAGATACTCAAGTACTCTCCCATCTCTTCAGATTGGAGAAACTTTTATCTTTCTGCCTAATTTAATTCTTCTTATCCGTCCTGCCATACATTGAAACTTTTCCAATGTTTCAGAATTACACTTAAACATGTAAGTATAACCATATTTACTAAACTTTTAGTAAATCATGACGAATAATCTTATCGACCTTTGTGGTGGACCTGACCAGCGCACAACCTAGTGTATCCAATCCTTCAGTCCTTCACTTGACTCACACATACATGTGAACAAGGAATTAGTCTTAATTTCCCAAAAAAAATGAAAATTCTCACTCATCATACAATACAACTTGCATGATACCAAGTTTCTATCCAACTGAAACTTGGGTGATGAGAATCTTTCCTTATTTGGTAAATTATGACACTACCACAAATGAAAGAATCAAATCCATTTTCCAATATTGCTTATCAATGGAAACATATAAACAACAATTTTTCACAAATGTCATTGTAAGGATACTTAAAATAAATAAAATAAAAACCTTTTCTTTTATTTTAAAACTTGCGGAAAAATCTTATCCTTACAATGCAAATACATATGAAAACATGCTGTTGTCTATTCCTGAGCAATATATCATAACTCTTAAGTAGCAACTCAAAATTCTGATCACCGAACCTTGCGATCGAAATCCATTTTCACGATCAGAATCAACATACTCTTTCTTTAGGTTTCCTTTGATTCTTCAAAACATCAAAATGTAATTACATTACATCATGTATTAAGAATCTCCAAAAGAGACTTCATAGAGTTATATAATGGACTTTAACCTGAAGCAAAGTCAAACCTTTTTGAATTTTACCATCCTTATGAACTTTCAGGTAAATTCGGCAGCTTCACAACCAATGCCCTTTCTTTTGGCAAAAGAACCGTATGGACTCTTTGGAAATGGTACACTTGATTGTCTCAGACTTAGCCTTTCTCTTTACCATTGGTCAAATGACTTGACCATGGCCAATCCCTTTCTATTGGGAAGAGAAAATTTTTCTGTACTTCCAATGTCACCATTGTTAATGTCCAAATAGGTTTGGGAAATATATCTTCCAATCTAATTTGCTTTACCAATGCTCCAAATCATTGTTGATTTAGCAGCATCAAGCAAATAGGTAAGATCACTAAGGGTCATGTCGTGATCTGTCATCAGGGAGTGACTGAAGAACCAAGTCAACAGCCAGCTACCTCGAGACTTCGACACCCGACTCTCCCAGCTTGCCAATATGTGACTTAACCTCCAAGATGTAAGCACATATATTCTTTGCTTGCCAATAGGGATTGAGTGACTTAGAACTTTTCAAGTCTTGAAACTTGTGGGATATGGAGAATTATTGGAGGAGGTGGATGAAGTGAAGCATGATTTCCAGTCCCATTAATGCACAACAAAGGGATTAATCTTTCACCTTGATTGCCATGTGGGATATAATCTTCATTAGGAAGGCTTGTTCCTAACGATTTGGGAAGACCATAGTTGTCTGAAATAGGCATTTACGAGGGAGAAATTCAAGTTTAGTTGATTTAAGTCCTTAATATAACACCTAATATGAAATATTAAGGCTAGGACCCAACAAACTATTTATAACTGGAAGAGGGATGTCGTAATCCAAGTTATAAAATATTTGAAGGTAGGTAAATGACGATTTACCAATTTCCACCATGAAAATGAAATATAATTAAGTTTTAATTGGATTTGAAACTCCTAGATCTTTTGAGATACATTGAACTTTCAATGGCATGTTTGAATCTC